TCACTGTTTGCTTCAGTTCAGCTTGCGATTTAGGTGTGTTGTTTTTAAAAAGAGACCTCCCTACATTGGCTATTCCAAAATAACCTCCCAGAGACTTTCTCCAGTTAATCCGGCGAATATTTATATCCCCCTCCCAATTCACGTTCACCCCCCACCCACCCCAAAAAAATGTTCAAACTAATTAGCTTAGTTTTTAATTTTAGCTTAAAAGACTGTGTATTTTACGGGCGAATACTTTGAGATATTAGGATTTTTTAAAAAAAACGGAACAGGAACTATACAAATAAATGCAAGTTGTGTCTTTAAAATATTCATCAACAGCTTTCCATGACCGAGAGAGTGAGAGAGAGAGGTCATCCCAGCATTATTAAAAATGAAATCTTAAAAAGTTCAATAAACAATGCCCCAGAATAGATGCAACCATGTCAACACTCACTATCAACCCCACCATCAATTCACAAACTCAACGGGTTACAAGCCAATAGGAAAAACAACTACAGATTCCCCCCAAGTCATAGTCAAAACAGTACATTAAATAATCAGATTTTTTTTCCCCCCATAAAAAAAACAAAAGGAAACATTGCAGAGCAGGGTGTGGCTCCAGCTGTTTTACATGTTCTTCAAAACTCCAGGCTACCCGTTAATTGCAACCAGAGACTGGGAGATCACAACCAGAACAACAGCAACAGTTACATTTCTATAGTGCCTTTCACATCAGGAGGACGTCCCAAGGCACTGGAAACACCTCACACCCAAACCCAACAACAACAACTTGGATTTATATAGCGCCCCTCACCCAAAGCGCTTTAAACAGACACCCACAACTAAGTCTGGTTAATAGATGCCTCACACCCGGACTCACATGATAGACGCACCATACACAGATAATTATCAATGGCAAGCGATACGGTTTTAGCTGGTTGGACTCCAGCAGGTACTACAACGCACGCTGGGGGGTCCCCAAGCCTTGGCTCTTGCCAACCTGCGACTAATACTTTCCAGAATTAGATAAATAGGATGAATCCCTCCAGGGAGAGAGTGCACATTGCATTCTGACAATCTATCTCTGGGATTTCCATGCATAGATGGGATGCTTGGAATTCTCATTTTGATTTGGAGACTCTTAAACACGGTGACGGGTTTCCTCATGTGTCAGAAACCCAGCTATGGTGCGTCTATCATATAAAAAAAGATAGTTAATTGATTGACATGCCACATCCAGATGATAGACACCTCATACCCACGGCTCCCAAACCTCTGCCTGAGCCATATAATAATAAAAGTAATAAAAATAAATAATAATAGTAACCCTCAGGTGAGAGTGTTGCTGACTGAGCCAGGTTGACATGTTGACACCAACGATGGTCAGGCCATCAGCCTTTCTGCCCATCACCCTCTGGAACTCCATCCCACAGTCCCTTCGCCTCACCCCACTGATTGCCTCCTTCAAGGTACGTCTCAAGACCCTCATCTTCGACCATGCCTTCATTCACCCTGTGTTCCTATAATCTAGATCACTCATGGATGCAGACACTGCAAGTAATATAGACCATGGTCGAAGAGGTAGGTTTTTAGGTAGCTTTTGAGGACAGATAGAGAGGGGACAAGACACAGAGTGTGAGAGAGGGAGTTCCAGGGGATGGGTGTGTAGTTGGAGCTGGTAAGACTAACTGGTCTATAATCTCCTGCCTTAACCACACTTACTTTTTTTGTAGAGTGATATCTCTTTTGTCAACCTCTAAACCTCCAGAAAAAATCCTCCTATCCATAGAATTTGGGGAAAAATAAGCTTTTCCAACAGAAATTCAGAGGAATGTGACAAGGAACAAATCACCCACCCACCCACCCTCATGGACAAGCAGACACATAGCTGGATAGACACTCTCAATAAAACTAGCACAAAGTTTGTTATTACAGGAATGAATGATTTTATTTCCTCGCAGCTGGGATTAAAATTATTCCGATGAAGATACATTTACGATGTAATTTTTCGCCCACACAATGCAATTCACGAGTCAATTCACTTTGCAGTATATTCTGTGAAGCGCTTTGGGACGACTTGATGGCGTGATACGGCTCTTTATCGAACGCAGGGATTATTATTATTCCTTCAGAATCCCTTACCTATTACAGCGTAAAGCTCTAATAATAATCCGTACGTTTCATATACCGAAAGGTGAAATGTTGAGACGTCTCAAAGCGTTTCACAGAATTTGCTCATCAAATGACGTTCGGGTTTAGTATTTTCCAGAATAAATATTTATTGGCGTCAAATAAAGCACCGGATGGCTGTGTGTGTGTCTCTCTGCCTCCCCCTCTCTCTCATACACACACACACACACTCTACCTCCCTCTCACACTCACACACCGCCTCTCTCTCTCACTCTGCTACTCTCTCCCTCTCCACTCTCCCCCTCATACTCTGCCACTCTCTTCCTTTCCCTCTGCCACTCTCTCCCTCGCACTCTGCCACTCTCTCCCTCTGCCACCCCCTCCCGCTCTGCCACTCCCTCCCTTCCACTCTCTCCCTCTGCACTCTCTCCCTCTGCCACTCCCTCCCTCTCCCTCTGCCATTCTCTCCCTCTACCTCCCCCTCCCTCTACCACCCCCTCCCTCTGCCACTCCCTCCCCCTCTCTCTGCCACTCCCTCCCTTCCACTCTGCCACTCTCTCCCTCTGCCACTGTCTCCCTCTACCACCCCTCCCTCTGCCACTCCCTCCCTCTCCCACTCTCTCCCTCTGCCACTCTCTCCCTCTACCACCCCCTCCCTCTGCCACCCCTCCCTCTGCCACTCTCTCCCTCTGCCACTCCCTCCCTCTCCCTCTGCCACTCCCTCCCTCTCCCTCTGCCACTCCCTCCCTCTCCCTCTACCACCCTTCCCTCTGCCACTCCCTCCCTCTCCCTCTGCCACTCCCTCCCTCTCCCTCTGCCACTCCCTCTGCCACTCTCTCTCTCTCTCTCACTCTGTGTGTGGCGCTCCGCCTCTCTTTCCACCCCCCACCCCACCCCCCACCCAGAGTGGGGTCCGCTTTATTTTGTTGGGAGGGGGTTCGTGAGTTGAATTGAGTTGCGTTACCCTTTTAAAAAAGGGGGAGAGAGAGAGAGAGAGGGAGAGAGTGCGAGAGAGAGAGGAGAGAGAGAGAGAAGAGCTGCGCGAGAGGAAGGGAAGGACGTTCCGCAGACTTGGAGGCAACGCTCAGATAAAAGCTCAGAGAGTGATTGAAAGTGATGTGAAAGGGATTTATCCTCCGCATTAAGTTGGGGACGAGAGAGAGAGAGAGAGAGAGAGAAGGAGACAGAGAGAGAGAGAGAGAGAGAGAGCTTTGCGTCAAAGCCCCGACCAGCCATCTGCCCTTGAAGCCCCACAGAGAAACGCCTTCATCCCAAACAGAGAGAGAGAGAGAGAGAGAGACACACACCACACAAGTAAGCGACCCATCAACAGGGGATACCCCCCCCCACCCCATCCCATCCCACCCACCCACCCACCCACCACCCTCTCTCTCCCTCCCTCTCTCTCTCCCCCTCTCTCTCACACTCACCAGGTTTGTGCCAACGTCTCTTATCTTCTCGCTCCCTTTCCCACTGTTGACCCCCAGGGTTGGGGTGGGGTGGGGTGTCTTGGGTGGTTGGGGTGGGGTGGGGTGTCTTGGGTGGGTGGGGTGGGTGGTTGGGGTGGGTGGGGTGGGGTGGGGTGGGTGGTTGGGGTGGATGGGGAAAGGGGTGGGTGGGGATGGGGATGGGGATGGGATGGGAGGAAAGGTGGGGTAGAGATGCACTAACCTACCCCCCCCCCCCCCCCACTCCCTCCCTCGTGGGGCTTAACTCCCGCTTTATTCCCCTTACTCTCCCTCTCCATCCATCCCCCCCAGGACCCCCCCCCCCCCTCCCCTCCCCCCGCGAGTCGAGAGCGCAACCGAGGTTTAACGGGACAGGAGAGGAAACGGGAGAGAGAGTGTGTGTGAGAGAGAGAGAGAGAGAGAGTGTGTGAGAGAGAGAGTGTGTGAGAGAGAGAAAGAGAGAGAGAGAGAGTGTGTGTGAGAGAGAGAAAGAGAGAGAGCCCTCATTCCTTCCCCGGGACTCTCGTCCCAAACTCAACCCAGTTCCATTGGGATTAATGGGACGTTGGGATAAAACGACAGGGAGAGAAGGAGAGAGAGAGAGAGAGAGAGAGAGAAAGAAAGATAAATAGATAGATAGATAGATAGATAGATAGAGCGCGGGCTTCCCCGGGTCTAAATAGTTTAGCATTCACACAGACTCCATCTACTGTCATGTCACACTTTATCTCCTCTTTCTTTCCCTTCTCTCTCTCTCTCTCTCTTCTCAGTTCCTCTGGAGCCATATGTTGGAGCGGTCAACTTTGAAGCACAAGAAGATGGATAGGAGTTGGAGTGGATGAGCCGAGAGAGAGGAGAGAGAGGAGAGAGAGAGGGAGGAGAGAGAGAGAGAGAGAGGGAGGAGAGAGAGAGAGAGAGAGAGAAAGACTGTCCGATGGATAGATGGACCAACGAACAAATGAATGAATGACCACCAGTTGGTTTTTTTGAGGGTTGTGCGACCTCAGGAGGGAGAGAGAGGAGAGGAGAGACCAGAGAGTTGAGAGAGCCACTGGAGACGGAATACCCCAACACAACCCTCCATCACCACCGGAGACGGAATACCCCGACCCGACCCAACCCAACCCTCCATCATCACCACCACCACCACCTCCATCACCACCTCCACCATCACCAGCTCCACCATCACCAGCTCCACCATCACCAGCTCCACCGCTCCGAATCGCGTGGACTCCTTTCGATGTCTCGCCGTTACTCCGGGAATGGAAGCCACATTGGGACCCGGAGTCGCCCCATGGAGGTCGTGAGAAGCCTTGACCACCGTTGCCCGAGGGGCGACCGGCTCTCATGCTGAGCCCAGAGAGGCGCTCTCGAGCCTGTGTGCGGGTGCGGGTACGCGGGTGTGCGGGTGTGTGGGTGCGGGTGTGTGGGTGCGTGTGGGTGGGTGCGGGTGTGTGGGTGCGTGTCCCGTGTGAGGGACCATGCGCTCCGGTTACCCGGTGTCGGTGCTACACTTGGCCGCTGTCGTGGCCTCGGTGCTCCCGGTCAGGACTCAGTACGGGAGCTGCAAGTCGCTGGTGAACGCGGATGACGCGGGACCGACCTGGGAGTTTTACGCGTGTCAGCCCCGACCCGCGGCCATGAAGGAGTACCTGAAGGTGCGGGTGGAACCCCCGCGGGTGACCTGCGGAGACCCGCCTGAACGCTTCTGTGCTCTGGTAAGTGGGGAGAAAGGGGGGGAGAGGGGGGGGGAGAGGGGGGGGAGAGGGGGGGGGGAGTGGGGGGAGAGGGGAGAGAGCGCTGGACATATCTTATTAGCAGTGACACTTTTCCTTTAGGGGAGTGGGGGAGAGGATGAGAGAGTGGGGGTGAAGGGGGTGGAGGGGAGAGGGGGTGGGGGTGAAGGGGTGGGGGTGAAGGGGTGGGGGAGAGGGGGTGGGGGGTGAAGGGGTGGGGGTGAAGGGGTGGGGGAGAGGGGACAGAGTGTTGTTTGGATTTCTCTCGCAATGATACTTTCTTACGGGGTAATGTGTGGAAATTCATCAACAACAAAAAACACAGTCTCTCTCTCTCTCTCTCTCTCTCTGTGTTTGTGACTGTTTCTTCCTCTCCCCCATCTCTCTGTCTCTTTCTCTCTGCCTGTGTGTGTGTGTGTGTCTCTCTGCCTGTGTGTGTGTGTGTGTGTGTGTGTCTCTCTCTGCCTGTGTGTGTGTGTGTGTGTGTGTGTGTGTGTGTGTGTCTGTCTCTCTCTGTCCCTCTGTCCCCCTCTCTGTCTGGGAAATTCAATAATCATAATAATAATAATAATAATAATAATATTATAACAACACACACAAAAGTGTCTCCCAGTTCGATGCCGATGGGAACGAGCGCAGTGGGAAAGTGAGGGGCGTCTGTGATCACAAGTGGCATTCCCTGCGCACGTCTTGTTCTCGTTATCACAGCGAATAGTGGGTGAAATGGGCAATAGATCAGAGATGCTTCACCCCCCCCTCTCCCACCTCTCTCTCTCTCTCTCTCTCTGTGTCGAATTAAAACAAAATTAAACTGGCAGAGCTCGGGATGGAGAGAGAGAGAGAGAGAGGGAGAGAGAGAAAGAAAGAGAGAAGGGCGATGCCACTCGCTTGGCCACGCGAGGCAAGAAAGGCGGATGGATGGGGTGGGATGGAGGGGTGGATGGAGTGGAGGGGTGGATGGAGTGGAGGGGTGGATGGAGTGGAGGGGTGGATGGAGTGGAGGGGTGGATGGAGGGGTGGATGGGGTGGAGGGGTGGATGGGATGGGATGAAGGGATGGGATGGAGGGGTGGATGGGATGGGATGGAGGGGTGGAGGGGATGGAGGGGTGGATGGGATGGGATGGAGGGGTGGAGGGGATGGGATGGGATGAAGGGAGGGGATGGAGGGGTGGAGGGGATGGGATGGGATGGAGGGGTGGAGGGGATGGGATGGAGGGGTGGAGGGGATGGAGGGGGTGGAGGGGAAGGCAAGGCACCAGGGCACGGCACGGCACTGGATGGCAACGGGAGTGTCGGGGTGTGGAGGAGGGGGTGTCGGGGGCCGCTCAAGTCCACGGCAAAGCCGAGTTGGTTTGCTGGGGGTCCCGAGGAAGTTTGCGGGTCGCGCAGTGAGACTCCGCGTACACTGTGAGAGGGGTTTTTCCCCTCTCTCTGTTCCCTCATCTCTGCAATGTTTAAGGTTATCAGTGGATCGGGAACGCGATCTAATCGGTCGATACAGAGAGAGAGAGAACACACACACACACACACACACGAGAGAGAGAGAGAACACACACACACACACGAGAGAGAGAGAACACACACACACACACGAGAGAGAGAGAGACACACACACACACTAGAGAGAGAACACACACACACACACGAGAGAGAGAGAACACACACACACACACACGAGAGAGAGACACACACACACACACGAGAGAGAGAACACACACACACACTAGAGAGAGAACACACACACACACGAGAGAGATCATACACACACACACACACACACACACACACGAGAGAGACACACACACACACACACTAGAGAGAACACACACACACACACACACGAGAGAGAGAACACACACACACACGAGAGAGAGAACACACACACACACGAGAGAGAACACACACACACACGAGAGAAAGAGAGAACACACACACACACACACACGAGAGAGAGATCATACACACACACACGAGAGAGAGAACACACACACACACACATACACACACGAGAGAGAGATCATACACACACACACGAGAGACAGAGAGAGAGAGAGAGAGAGAGAGAACACATAGAGAGGGAACTCACACACACACACACATGAGAGAGAGAGAGAGAAGGGGGACACAAAAACACGGGAGAGAACACACACCACACAGAGCGCTACTGCTCAAGAGAGGACCAGAGAACGCTTTACAATACGGTGTGTGTAACCGCACCGTTCGTTAAAGCAGCGGTTAGAATCGGACCACATTGGACGGTTCTATACCGCAGGGAAATGCGAATCCGACTCGGAAAATACCCCCAAATAAACTGACACAATAGCCCCGGACTCGGGTTATCCAACCCGAGCGAAAGAAACGCTCAAAATTATATAAACACACACACACACACACATATAAAGGAAAACCTGCCAGATATCGATGCACTTTTTTGGCATCATAAATTATTGAGCTGAGCGTGAAAGTGGTTTTAGATAAACCCTCTAGTCTGATGGCCAGTCACTAGTCCCAGACAGGTCGAGCCATTTAGTGTGTAAGGCTAATGTATTTTCGTTAAGTGCCCAATTATCTTTGCCATGTCCTGGCTCATGATGGTGATGATAATAATAATAGTATTGATATCATTTGATATCGTACCTTATCGCATCATTCAAGATGTCTCAAAGCGCTTCGCGTGATGTACTGTACAGTGGATTGACTTTAACGTGTATTTTCTGGGGGCAAAATATATTATAAATACAAACACACACACACATATATATTACTATATATATATCTATGCTCACACGTATATATTATACACGTGTATAAATGCACACACATGCAAAACTCATAGGATGCGGATTAGTAATCGATCCGGGCAGCAATCGGGAATTTAAAGCTTCTAAATTAAGATTATCCGTAAAAAGATTCTTACTGTATGTTCATACATTGAAACGATTCCGCACACCAGGCGCTGGATGAACTTGGCTGTCTGAACACCACATTTTCGTTTTATTTTTTATATTCACTTTAATTTAATTCATATGTCATTCTTATTCTTATTTATATTTAATTGTATTTCGTTTTTTTCCAAAAAAGAACACAGTAAATTTTTCAGTGCAAACAGAGAGAGAGAGAGAAACTAATGCCATCTCAGGGTGTATCTGCTCTAACCCCCCCCCCCCCCCCCCACCCCCCCACCCCCCACCAATCCTCCCAGCCGCTGAGTGGAATTTTTGTCGGGTCACTTTTTGCCCACATTTCCCTAGGGATGTGAATTAAAGTCCCACCACAGGATCTCTCTTACTCACTCATTTCCTTTAAGATATATAACGCAGTTACTGATTGTGTAAAACAGGGAAGAGAGAGAGGGCGAGTAGAGGAGGGGGGTCGAAGGAGGAGAGAGGTAGGGGAAATCGATAGCGAAAGATCTGGAAGGAATTCCACCTTCCTTCCGTTGGCATTGATTTACCCGACTCCTTTACTTTGAAGATGATATTTGCCGTGCGTAAAACTGTGGGCGGCCTTTCTCCCACAAAATACGCAGTCACTACACTCGTCAGTGTATGCTGTGAAGCGCTTTGAGATGTCTCGAGGACGTGACGATAAGGCGCAATTATCAAATGCAAGGATTGTTAGAGATACTGCAGTTTTATGAAGTTTTTTTTAAAATTTATGTAGTATGATCACAGTCACAATTGAGTTCGGACTGGGTCAAGGTTTCTGGGTGTATACGCACACACGCACATACACACAGAAGGATGCTATATATAGGGACACAAGGAAGACCTGACACAGTATACTTTGTTAGCTTTTAAACAAACTAAATAATAATAATAATGTCGTCACTCAATCCACGACTGTTTGTGGGACACTGATGTGAACAATTGGCTGCTGGGTTTCGCCCACAAAATATACAGTCAATTCGCTTCACAGCATATCCTGTGAAGCTCTTTGAGACGTCTCGAAGACATTATAAGGTGCGATATCAAATGCAAGAATTATTATTATTATAAATCTCCCGACTCCTGGATTATACTGAATTCAGAGATGTAAAATAATGAGAGAATTTTAATATTTTTAGATAGAGACACCTGATAAGCAGTATAAAAACAGAGAGCTCTCCACCCATTCACCATTAATCTCTTCCGCAGACCCTCCACTCTCCCTGATGCTGAGTCAATAGCGAGTGAATTCGAAATGTAAACTATTGAACACAAACGAAAAAAACCAAACAAAAGCCACCCCAACCTCATGGCTCAGAGTGTGTGCACCGACTGTTGGGATAACAGCTGAAGTGTGTGACACGCTTGGAAGCGCTTGTAGGAGCTTGTGTTGTAATAGCATCAAATATGGGACGGTTGCTTGAGTAGGCAGCCAACACCACACTGCGGAACAGCCACGGGGTGTGCAAGCGCCATAGTCCAACACACCCCAAGCTGGCTTTAACTTTAACTTCGTATCAATGACTTTTGCACCCATCATTGACCAAGAAGAGTTATGTAATAATAATAATAATACAACATATTATTATTGTAATTATAGTGTTATCTTTGAATAGAATACAACAACAACAGCAAATTTAGATTTGTGTCGCGCCTTTCACGTCCCGAGGACGTCCCAAGGCGCTGGAATACACAGCCAATGCTGAACTGTCCTGGGGTTGAGCTGAGCTCCAAGGTGGTCCACATCTTCTTTCGGACCTCATGGAACAGTTCTGGTTCATTAGCTCATGATAGATCAGCAGAGTGAAAGAAAATGTGTCCGAAGCTGTGCGTTAAGGCAAGACTGCCTCACTATAGGCAAAGTCGTGGGTGTATAACAATGTGCTTTTGTCTGTTTCAAGTGACAGTATTGAACTTTGAAAAGAATAGATTCTAGACTTCATTTCATCCATTTAAGAATTTTTAAAAAGATAAAGTCTGACTGACCTCCGCTACCAAAAATACAACAGATTGAAAGCGCAAATGACTTGTTTTGAAGCTTTAAGGAATAGCCT